CACACTGTATGATTTCTAGAGCTGATATAGGGCAATTTGTTCAGCAGAGTGATATAAGCTTCGTTATGATAGCATCATCCATGACTTTTAGGAATAACATGATGCAATTCATATCATGTATGATGCAATACCAGCTTCAGATTGCATCATTCATTGTTTTGCCTAAAAAGCAAGTACTGTCCAAACCCAGTCATAGATTTATTCCTAGATCCAGTCAAAGATGTATTTTAGTCATTTCTGGTTTAAATTGAGAATCCTTCCCTTTATAACTCACTTATCCTCCGCCATTCCCAAGTCAAGGGTCGTATATACTGACCCAACAGCATATCTTGAAAACTAGAGCCAATCAACAATTTTAAGCATCATTTTCATTCTCAGGGACCCAGAATTAGTAAAGTTTGACTACATTTATTTCAGAAGCATTTTGGCTGTAGAGCAGTGTTATCCAAGCTTGTTGATCAGACTTTTTTGCTTTGCCTTTTTCTAGTAGACCTACATATGTGAGAAATACATGAAGCCAAGATTTTCAAGCATAGGTACCTCTAGTCAAATTTCTAAATCTTCATTAAGGCATCTAAAGAACTGACCAGATTTACACAAGTGCTGAATACCCAGCAGCTCCCATTGACTTGAATGCAATTACAAGAAATGCCAGTACCTAGTTATAGCCTAAAGGAACAAGTGATGTTCTAATCAGAATGCCCATAGTCCCTTTGACAATCAGTGAAGAATTAATTTATAGGCATCCATAGGGGAGGGATAGCTCAATGGTTTGAGCATTGGCCTGCTAAACCCAGGGTTGTGAGTTCAATCCTTGAGGGGGCCATTTACGGATCTGGGGCAAAAATCTGTTCTGGGGATTGGTCCTGCTTTGAGCAGGGGGTTGGACTAGATGACCTCCTGAGGTCCCTTCCAATCCTGATATTCTATGATTCTATAGCAAATCAAGTGATACCGATAACACCAAGAGTTTGAATTTAAGTGCTCTTTTAGAAGGGTGCCTCATTTTCCTTATATTATAAATAGAGATAAAAGGAAGTGAATCATTTATAGAATATTGAACTCTTTCACATTCCAGGCTTTGGAGAATTAATGGTAAATTGGGACTGATCCAGCTTTCCCTACCTTCCATGGCACAGATACACGTGGAGAGCAAATAGGAAAGTTTGGGGGATTTTTTTTTAAATATACTTTCTGAATGTAATAGTCAGAAACAGAAGAGAGTATTTTAAGGGCATTATTTCAAACACTGGCTTATTTAATATAGTACTCTATCTCTACCAATAAGACATTGTTCAGCAAGTTCACCAGTACCTACTTTTCATATTTTCTATACATAAAAATGTTCTAAATGAATCATTCATTCAGATAGCTATAGGTGTGTGTGTGGGCGGGGGGGTGTTTTAAAAGCAGTATCTCTACTTTGTAACTACTTAGGAGAATATTACAGATTATTCTATCAAAATATAGAGAAAGCAATTCACCTCCCAAACTTGACAAAGAATCAATCTACAAATGAGCTAGTAAGCATAATAACAAGAAAATGATGTTCCAGGTTGAAGATAGGAAGTTATATAGTGGGAAAGACTAAGATAATCACATAATACCTAGTCAACATATGTTTCTTGATCAGTTCGTAACAGTGGCAGAGACTTAATGCAGCAGTACCTAGTTTTCCTTTGAATGATAGCCCTGTGGTTAAGGTACAAGCTGCAGACTTTATCTTCAACCTTCCTTTGCAACCCCCGTGCACACTGTAGCCTCTATGTGCCTCAATTTCTTACTCTACAAAATTGGGGAAATAATTCCCTACTTCATACTGATATATAAAATAGTAGTAGTAATATTTATATATATAAAATAGTAGTAGTAATATATAAAATAGTAGTAGTAATATTTTCTCAGTGGTATATATTTTGGTTGCTATATTAAAAATACAGTATATTCATAACACAAAAATACAAGAGAAAATAAATGTAAATATTTAAATGTAATTTAATGAGTACATTACCTAGTTCCATAATCCACAACTACCCAATCTTTAGATGTTCCTGTGATGGCATCATGGTGCTGAAAGAGTCCTAGGTTCCTCCTAGCCTCAGTCAGCAATTTATAATGGTCCACTGAAGGAAATGCATTCATCTTGTCAGATTTTTTAGACTCTACTAGTGCCAAAGAATACAGGATCTCAGCAGCTCTGGAAAAAATCAAAGAAAAAAAATGAATGTAAAAGCTACTTGTTTACACAAACACGCACACACAAAGACAAACACACACTTTAAGAGCTCAACTACAGTGCTTTCATAGCTTCCCCCAAAAGTGGTCCTCTAGGTTCTTTAAACTAAAAGTTAAATTTTGTTAATTACAATATAATTCACTATTTACAAATAAAGCAACAAAAAGTTTATTTGCACAAATTTGTAATGATCAGTGATCAAACCTTAGTGGGATGCATTCAGGATAGCTTCTGTCTCAGAAGGAAAATTAAACTTTCAAGAACACACAACTTGTTTAACCAACAGAATTATTCCTCTCAAAAGGTACATACTGTATATATTGCATGCAGTATTCATGAAACCTTATTTAATTTTTTAAGACATCTGTTTGGGTCTTAGTTTGGTCATTGAGAACCCAAACTTATTTTTTCCTAAATACCATAACAGTCAAAGTAAAAGATTATAACGACATATTCAAACTGTCTGAGGAAGGGATCCACCGATTGACCACCAATACCAGACAAGATCAGATACCTCAAGACCCTGTACCTTAGACAAAGTAGACATATTACAGCTGGGTGCTCTCCTGGACCCTGAGTACAAAGTCCATATACACTCTGGACAGTTCAGGGGCACCTGGGGAAACTTTGTGGGCACCAACCACATAGGACATTGAGAATGACCCAGAGTGAGTGCCATCTACAGCCACAGCGTCCTCAAGTGGAGCAGAGCAGATGCTCTCCATGGGGGGCCGCAGCCACTTGGACCACAGGACTCCAGGACTCCAGGACGAATGAGAAAAGAAGGAAGTGGCAGCTGAAACAGCATCACTTCAGCCATGTAAAGACTTGATTCATGATTGTTATGGTTAGGGTAGACATGACATAAGGAGCTCATCAGTGCCTCTGTAGAATCAATCTATACAGGCTTTAAAAATGTCACTTTGTATCGTCCCTTCAGGGCATGGAAAACACTATTCTCCACTCCCTTCCAGCATCCTGAAGGCAGGTTTCAGCTACTGCCTCATCTACAGTCATTGCTGGGCATGGGAAACAGCCATATCTACACCCCTCCCCATTTATGCTGTTTGTATGCTCCCTTCTGAGTGTGAACCATCTTCCGCCCTCCCCCACCCACCCTCTTTTGGCACCCAGAGGGCAGGATTTGGGTAATGATGTTTGCTGTTTCAATATTTCCTGCTGGACGCGGGAACCGGCATTACGCCATCGCCCTTAGTCTCCACTATCGGTCCCCTCCCTGGCATCCACATGGGATCCAAGATGGATTCCAAGGGGGGCGGGGGATTTAAACACTGTAACTGAGGCCTGGTCTACACTAGGCGTTTATGTCGAAGTTAGCGCCGTTACATCGAATTAACCCTGCACCAGTCCACACTGCGATGCTATTTAGTTCGACATAGAGGTCTCTTTAATTCGACTTCTGTACTCCTCCCCGACGAGGGGAGTAGCG